CTGGTGCCCCCTTTGTGCCTCCCTCCTCCACTAGTAAAATCCTAGCTACGCCTCTGATCCCATACAAAAGATATTAAGATGATTAGAATGTCAAATATGCCAACTGAGGCACTGGAAGGGTTAAATTAGTTCATGAATGAAACCACTAATTTATTTTATTTAATTACTATATACTTCTATTGCTACTTTTTTGTAAGGTCCAGTAAGTTATTGCTTTTATGATATGGTTAATGGTAACACACCAGCTTGATTAAATATGCGAACAGTTACCAAAGTGGTAAGACAAATTTAATGCTGTTTTATGCAGACACCTGTTTTTTTGGTGGCCGTTTGGCATTGGTGGGTCGACAGAAGACAATCAACAACCTGTCTTCAACCTTCCTTTCCTGGCAAGAATAGTGACCACATACATGTAGACATGTTCAGATGAAATAGATTTTTTCTTTATTTCCATTACTCTGTTCTTTTACAACAATATATATAGATAAATTTTGAGATATGACCGGCAGGTCTAATTTTCATGTTTGGGGTTAGTAAATAGAAGTCCACAGAATTTCCTGACTTCAGTTAGCTGCAACTATTACATTTTAAAAACAAACCCTAGTAAATGCCAACATAGTTAATATTCTTGGCAACATTTCTTTCCTCGAACAAAACTCCCAGTTGGGCCAAGTTGGCGGGCACCAATTAATCCCAAACCTCCCATATAAGTTTATTAAGAAACCCTTAAATGCAATGAATATCTTCAATGTGCTAAAGGATGAACGTGGGTCTGATTTTGAAGCCCCAAAGTTGTGCCCATTCAGCCCAGAATCTAACCAAGAATCAATGGAAATCAAAGCCTCCACTCTTGGAAGTGAATTGTAACACTTCCTGCTGGGATGTCATTTTGAATGCGGAACATTCACGGTAAGTTACAGAATGATGCCTTAAGCTTCCTCTCCAATGACAAAAAAACAATGGATGTTACTGTGATTTTCCTAACCACTTTTACAGCACTGTCAAGCTAATATCATTAACTCCAGAATTTCCTGTACTACTTGAAGCTCTAAAATACAAGTCCAACAACTCTGGTAAGCTACTGCAAACCAGTCTGTGATTACCAACTTTGGCAATAATATCATGAAATTCCTCCAACCAGGCTTCTTTTTTTAGCACAGGTGGGCCAATATACACTAATTGGAATGAAATAATTACCTGTGATTAGTTGCCTTTATACAAACAAGCCTGCAATCAAGCAAAATTCTTTGTTTTAAATAACGAGATACATATTGCAGTTATAACATACAGTACGTTCATTTTCAATTTATTAATATACTGTAAATTCAATTATGCGTGAGTGGTCCCATTATCAAACATGCAACTTGATCTCAGACAAAAACGAGGACATTCCGATCATTACAAGACTTTGTAAAGTGCTTTTCAACTTTCAATGGCATCAGTGTGAAGCGAAAAATGAGGAAATCAGCTGATCCAAGGAAAAGTTGCATGCCTTTCAAGAGAAGCATATTAACTGCATGAAAATAGATTTTTACACTTTGTGGGAACAAAAATATCAGAATGCTAATATCAGATTCCAGGGTCCAATCGTTTCAAAGCTGTCAAGATCTTCAAACACTTTGAAAAACAATAGGTATGTACATGTATGTCTAACGATCCCGTAGATCTAGGATTCATTTAGAGGGAGTCTTTTTCAGTGAAGGTGAGAGATTTGCAACTTTTCTCATCAGAAATACATCTGAAGCAACTTTAGAGAATGGGAATACACTAACACAGGAAGACAATTTACACCACTGCATATCATGCAAAAACCAAACTCCATGGCTTTGTAGGAGAAAGCTTTAAAACTAGAACAAAAGAAAAGGGTAGAAGGTCTGAATCATCTACATGTATGAATGTTGTCCTTTACAAAAATATGATCTGTGGCACAATTTGCTCTCAGATGTCAGAAATCAAACTGTAAACTAAGCCAATCAACAAATCACAGACAGGTTTTTTTTGGCAACAAATGACAAATGAAACCAGTCACTTTTCAGTACATGATTAAAACCACAAAAATGACTTGCCTTTTGCAATTAAATTATTGCATCAAGACCCTATTACCTTCTATATACAAAATTATATTTTCATAAAATAACAGGAGAATAATTTTGTTTCATTTACATTTTATGAACACTTCATTTTTTCATCAGTGTCAAGGTTCAATGACCTTTGACCCTATTTCGAGCTGTATTTACAATAACTGTTCTGGTGCAGTGTTTTGAGGCAGAGAAAGGTCAACAAAAGTTTGTCTTCGGGGTTTGAACTTTCAAGACATACTGGAAGCTACAGAAAGTCCCTACAATGTAAATAGGTCAGACTTTTCTCTAACTTTTCCCCTTGGTTTTTAATGTCAGGCTGCCCCTCAATTAGACCTACATGGACAACTGCACCTTGGCCTACTGCTCAATGTGTGTGCATCTTCATCATGCTTAAGTTAACTATGTATTATTTACGTTAAGTTTGTGTGAATAATAAATAACTAGGCTGTGCATACAAAGCAATCGGACAATCTTCACACTGTTCACAGACTTTTTCTGATGATCAGCAATCTATTGTTTTGTTTAAATAATGTTTACAGAAATGAGCATATCATTTTTGGTGCAACATGGCTATTTAGGCAGCTACTGAGTATTCAGATTAAAGCAAAGAGAATTTTTAAAATCTTATCGATCTTTGGCAACTTCAATCTGAACATCTGGTACACTGATCTCAGTGACTTGCAAATGGTCTATGAATTCCCTTGACACCTGCTATTACAAATGCTGCCTCATCACTGCCTCTGAATGATCCGTCAAACCATGTCTGGTTGTTTATTTTATGACTACAGTTTTGGTCTCTTGACGCAACACACTAAAGACTATGTCCATAACCCTTGACCGTATGCCTGTTTTGGACATGTTCACAATCAGTAAACAACTTCCGATTGCTGGTCAGCTTCTAGATCTAAGTCAATTAGAGATATTCAACCCTGGGAGTAGGTCATGGTGTTAAACACGTTCATCCTGACATAGTCCCAACTTGACAACTGTCCTGTAACTCAACTTAATCCATTCAAAAAGCCACTAATCACAGGAATAATGCAAACTCTTATTAAGTTGTGGAAATTCAATTACATGCACACATCATGCAGTGTCATTACTTAGTAACAAAAAATCTTTTTATCTTTACATTAGTAGAAATTGACGAAGAAAGTTGACGACAAATGATAGGGCAAGAGCTTCAAAGTTGTTCTGCTCGACAAAAATTAAAAAAAAAGAACAAGATTGACCTTTTCATTCAAATCAAATTTGCTTGAATAAAGTTTCAAATCAAATGAAACCATAGAGTCAACAAATGATGCCTAGGGCATGCAAATCAGATCAATACTTTAAACTTTACCATTTAAGATAATTATTTCCAATGCCTGTGCAATCAACATGCTTTGCTTCATCGGCGCATTATCAGTACACCAATAATCCAATGAATCAATAAAAGTCAAGTTCATGACAATGCAATGCACTGTTCGCCAATACATGTACATGCACAAGATCAAATATATTTGTCACAATACACAGAAAGTCAATAAACCAATTACTTTTAAGCAATTATTGGTGCATGGTGTATTGATACATTAATCCATCATCAATAAACCGTTATTAGTGTCTTCGATACCTGTGATTAAATACTCTTGAGTTTTTGATGTCACTGATTCAGCAATAAAGGGCGCCACCTATTTCTCTTCAAGCCCTTACTGGATAAGAGTTGATACATCCCAGAGCTGTGAAGGCAAATAAAGTAAAGAAATATCAAATTTCTTGCCCTCCGCAAAGACACCTTTGTGGACAAGTTTGCCATCATGCAATTACAGGCCTGTTGTCAAGATGGATTTCTGTCACATCATCTCTTGTGGAGGACAAAAACTCAAAACCTTTCATCTTGCAAATCTTGCCCCCCATCTTTAAATTTTATGTTGAGAGTTATGCTTTAAATGGTGCTGAGCTAGACTGAACAAAAACCTTAATAAGACGAGGATTGATCAGTTTTCGTGAAATTCTGTTGGTACTAACCTTGATGACCTTATCCGTGCCGCAAGTGACAAGCTGACCTTTGACATCATCCAGGTACATTGACACAATGGCATGCTTGCTGTCATAGAAGGATGCCATGGGAGCCCGACTGTAGAGAAATGAACATGACATCTTAGCTTCCACAGCCAGGGTACAAGACAGTTTTCTAATCACGATCCTCAACTCATAACTGCAGCTGAGTCCTTTCTCCAGTTCATGAAGTTACAATAATACAATGAGATTGAATGACTGTGGTATTCTAATCTATGAGGTCACAGGAGGGCCAGTAGAAGTGATTCAAGATATATGTACCATCAAGGAAGTCCGTCATTCTGCACACTGTGTGCAAAGAAGAGATAATCAGGTTTAACCAATCGCTGACATCCCTTCTGTAAATGGAGATAAACTTCATGCACGCACAGATACATATGCACTTGATGTGAGGCACATGTGGCCAGTGCACAACAGTATCTAACAGACGTCACTAGCCTCTCTCTTCTTTGTCAATGAGGGGGTATTTCTCTGCAGAGCAGATCTAGCTAGTACAACGATTCAACCTTCCTGACTACTGACAAGCTACCCTGGTAAGTCCAGCATTTTGGCTCAGTACATTTGACAGGCGACCGGTTCTTACTCGGCATCGGTGAGGGAGTCTGCACAATCCTTACAGATTCTCACTTCAAACTCAAATCCCAATGTCGGCAACGTGGAACGTTCTGGTGTGCACTTGTCACAAAGTGCATGGCCACACTTCCTGCAGTGATGCTAACGGTAAACAATGAACAAGGAAGTGGAAAGGAAGGAGGAAACCAGATTAATAAAAAACAAGAACAAGAAATGTTTTATCTGAATCGGTTACTCACTGTCAATGTCAGTCACAAATATAAATGTTGAACACACTATCATGAAGACATCACCAATGAAATACTTCAGGTAGCTCAGGATTAACCCCTCAACATAACACCTTCCTAAAATGGTGTGGTACTGTTTAAAATCAAACCTGACCTCCCCAAATTCTCAATATATCCCTGTCTCTTGGTCCTACCTGCCTCACGCCAAGAGTCTTGCTGGTCCACATCTCCTTGAAGTTCCAGAAGAATGGACTGCTACATTTCTGACAGGTGTCACTTTCTTCCCACTCAGGAGTCTGGGAAAAGAAACAGGCAATCAACTTGTATAGATTCAGGTCATTTATACATAACAGACTACTGGATAGGGCAGACTACCTTGTAAAACTTCAGAAAGAACTTGAGCATTAGCTCTGTGAATCAAACATGGCAGTTTGGAGGAAGAGGAGACGAGAAGTGGTTATCAACGCATACCTCGAAATCATTTTACCTCTTGTCTTTTTCCAGCCATGTTCCACACAACAATGTTGTTATCATCGCCTGCTGAGAACAATTGCTTACTCCTTGCTGAATAACACACGCTTTCAACCTTTCCCCTGTAAATATAACAACAAACTTAGAAATTTAAACAAGTGACCACAGCAGAATTTCACAACATCTGTCCGGAACAGACAAGTAACCTGTCACAAATTAATTACAACATAACGTGTACTAACCACACTTTTTCTACATGGTCTTCAATAGCGGCCTTTGCTTATTACTCCTCCATTGGAGATTAGCGATGCCTCATGACACAACCTGATCTTGATATTACCCGTCTGCTTGTGGAGATCAACAGACTCTTACAGAGGTCCTGTTTAATTCACAGATTTTGATAATTGTAAAAATAGTTTCAACTCACGTGTGTCCCTGCAACTCAAAGGCAGTTCCCTTTTGGCCTCCGATGTCCCAAACTATGATGGACTGATCAAAGCTGCCAGAGAAAAGAAGTTTATTCTCGGTATCCCAAGCCAGGCATCGTGTACTCCCTTTGTCCAAATGGAAGAACAAGAACGGTACTGGTTAAGGTGTGCAGAGGTTCATACCTCTGCATCTGCCAACTGTGACTAGTGGTTAATATATAAAACAATCTATTCAAATAATTTTCTTGGTGCCATGG